CCCCCCCCCTTCCCTATGATGGTATAATCGTATTTACCATCATTGGGGTGATATACTTTTACCGAAACTTGACGTTTTAAAATGCTTCAGTCACATTTGCGCCGGGAAGTAGGAATCGGCCGGCTCCCCGGCGTCCCGGGCGCCGGTGACTTTTTTCCGATGTCTGAGATTTGCCGTGAGTATGGTCGCAATACAAACGGGCACCGCAAGGCCCCCCGAAAATAATTTGCCGGATTAAATCGAACGGACATCTGAAGGATACCGTAGGGAGCCCGTACCTACCGCAGGGCTATCTGACGATGGCCGGGCTGTCGTACGGTAGCCGGAAGATGTTCGTGTGACGGGCGGGATACGTACGTAGCCTGTTCGATATTTCGCATTTTATACGGCGTGTATATATACGATAGGGAAGCACACAAGTCAACACCTAGCTCGTCCGTGAGAAAATGGTGCCTGCAGATGCCCGTATGTGTGCCGTCCGGGCGCCGGAAGCATTGGCCGATGCCACTTCCGGAAATCGGGTGGGCGCGGGCCGAATATCCCACGGACACCGCACAGTAAGATAGTCTTACGAAATCCTTGCGGGACACTAACAGAAGACTACCGGGTAGGTTCCGTTGAGTTTGGGCAAGTAAAAATCGGGCGGACACCGGCAACTTTTATCTCCGCGCTAAAAGCTATCCGCGACCCGTGCGGCGTCTAAAAATCGGCCGATAATGGCCGATAATCTCCCGGCGTCCTTACGATTCCCCGGCTTGTCGGCCGATTTTGGCCAAAATCGCATCGCCCGGGTGCCTTTTCGGAAACCGGTGCAAATGTGACTGAGGTTTAACCCCGAACACGTGTAAAACTACTCTGTACACCTCAGGTTAGGTCCACATATAGCCGAAACAAATGCTCAGGTCCCTGTGGTTCTGTCTGTATTCTCCTTTCGAACACAAAATTGATAACCATCATGTGACGGCTAACTCCTATCTCTTCTTTCCTTTCGACAATGTTCTCCTTGGGAACATCCGAGTTCAATACAAAGCCTGTTGACCGAGTGGAATGTCATGTTACCGTGTCCAGGATATGTTTTCAATCGGGAACTGTCAACACTTTCCGATATTTTTTATCGTTTTACGGAAAGGGCCGGCGGTTCCCGATCGCATTTGACGTTTCAGTGTGATGCACTTAAAAGTTAGAACCACTGACCTCTCTACATTATAAAAAAATAAAACAAACGAACAAATTTATAATAATTTTGATATTATTTAATATGTACTGACAGAAATTATTTCATCGTTGGCTTTGTGAAACTTTTCTACACTGGGATACAATTGTACCATAGTTAAAACACTGAACAGCTTATAGAACTATTGACCCATATATGCCTCCATAGCGATACGAGAAATATCTTATTAAAATTTACAAATACGTCTTTTTTTTATATAATCACCTTCAATTTCCACATATACTATTTTAATTGTGAATTTAATCAAACACAATGAATATTGAAGCTGTATGAGTAGTATGCTGTATATGTGTCAGGACTAATACATTTTTACCTACTTAGCTGAAGGCAAATTTCCAGTGATTAACTACCATGATAAACTGAACATAAATAACTGAACAATTGCCTTTGCCAATACTAGTTATTAGAAATTAAAATAATTTCTGGGAAACATTTTATTAAGATATCTGAATTATCCGTTATTTCAGATATGGATCCCGCTCACACGATAAAAGATATAGAAAATGCGCTAGACTTTCGAGTTTCTCGAATGGTGACATTTTGATTTAAACATATTTTATTGCATTTTTTAAATAGCAATGCAATTGGGCACAAAAAGGCAATACAATATGTTTAAATCAAAGTGTCACCCTTCGAGAAACTCGAAAGTCAAGCGCATTTTCTATTTCTTTTATTATCTGATAACTAGTATTGAAGAAGCCATTTTTTCAGTTATTTGTGTTCAGTTTATCATGATCATGAAGGGTGACATTGAAAATCTCTGTTCCGAGTATTATCAGGAGTTAACTCAACAATATTTCACTGTCATTTAAAAAAAAACCTTTAGAATTAGTTTACATAAATATAAATAATACATACACTGTTAATATAATTTAGAATGATTTACGTAAGTGATGTAAATGTATTATTTGTTTCTCTATCCAGTAAATTCTATTTAGGCTTGACAATTGTCTTCTTTATATACACATTAAAAATAGAATAAAATGATAAAATTTTGTCTCGGTTTTACAATTCCCTTTGTGCGGTTTCTCCAGAGCACTTTTAATACCGTCTTTCAACAGTCCAAGCAAATCCGCGGTAATGTGATTTGTTGTAAATCACCAATGTATCCCCATCCAAAATTGATAAATATCTTCTTTAACACGGCGTCCGGGTACCTCTCACACAGGGCCTGTTGCACAAGTGTATCTGGGTATTGATGTAAGGTAAGAGTACATAAGAGTAGCTACACTATTTATTTGTGGTGATTTTATATCGGTAATCAGTCAAATCTCCGCAACTCGACCTTCAGAGAGATGGGTTTCTTCGGCTGGGTAAGTCCCGGTCTGCTGCTGAGCTGCAGGGGAATCTATGGAACAAAAAATAACGCATCAAAGCAAGTTTTCAATTAAAAATTAGGGAACATAAAACAAAAAGGGCTGACGTGTAACATGTCTATCTGTATTGGAAACTGTTTCATTCTGTTACTTTATTTTGTTAAGTTTTATATATATATTTCAGGTACCCCAACCGATCCTAATTTTACCTCCGACCCTACCAATGTTATTACACTCGAACGCACCAAACGTCCCACTCGAATGCGCCAAAACTCGTGAGCAATTAGGTAGTCACGTTCAACCAGACTCTTGAATTACAAGTGATCAAGCGCCTAGTTGAACGAGACTACCGATGGTGTGTCAAGATTTGCCGAAATGGCGGGTCGAACCCGATTGATGTTTTTCACATTTGCAAAATGTAAATGTGATACAGTATGCATAATGAGCGCCAGTAGGGCATTGTTATAACTGTACATAAATCAAGTTTGGTGAATTTTGTAATTTCTTCAATTATGTCCCCCGCCCCACCGTTTTTTTTATAGATAAAGCACATGTAAAAAAGGAAATTTTAAAACTATCCTGACCGTCCTACCCTATTTGTCAGTCAAGTTATCTGAAACATACGTATTCTTCTTTTTTTTCTGTTTTTTTAACGTACGAAGAACTATTAAAAATACATATACATTTTAATGACACCCCTGTCCGATACGAAGATCTCTAAGAATGTTTTAACTCAATAATTTCCACGATGTCGTGAAATAAACGATGTACATGGATTTTTTTATTTCATAAAATCAAAATATTTACCTTAACGTCCATCAACTCTGTTATGCTCAAAACGCACAATTAAAGCTGAATATCTACAAATAACAAACGGAAATGACGTCAGGACATTTACCTGAGTATCTGCACATGTGACGAATTTGACACTTCTCAACAGGCGAACCATGGCTATCTTGGCTTCCATCAAAGCTAGCCGCATTCCGAGACAGTTGCGAGGACCAAATCCGAAGGAAAGGAAAAGGACGCTGTTCTGAGCAGTTCTGTCGGCAAACCTGGCGAAACAAGTACAAAAGGTTCAAAAGTAGAATAAAGTATCACAACATCCAGACACAAGACAACATCAGAACTTAACAACATAATCAATGGCGACACCAAAGCAAAAGGAAAAACACCATGAACCAGCAAAATACAGGAGGTAAATGCAAGTGTTCCGGAAGAGTAAGCGTTCTCGACACATATTCCTGGAACTATAGAGTGTCCGGATCAAAGTGATTTTGTCATACTCTGTATAATAACATTCTTATCGATACACGTCGCTGACACGTTTGTTTTAAGCCTCTGCACTCATAGCATGGACACACACTCTGTATAATAACATATTCTTATCGATACAAGTCACTGACACGTTTGTTTTAAGCCTCCGCACCCATAGCATGGACACACACTCTGTATCGGTTCCCTTACAAGGGTTGGCTTTATATTGTAAACTTGATATTGTAAACAATATCTCAGTGTAAAACTCCCAAATCTATGACAATCCGGCTTAGAACAAACTCCCCAAACGCATTAGACTGTAGCAGTTGCAGACATTTATGAACCGTTCCTCGAATATATTTTTTACATGAGAACAAATGTAGTTTCCCAATAATGTCGATATTTTACTGTTTAATAATATACTGCATCATAGTTATTTTTCACGTGTCAATGCAATTTCCATAATATGAATAATCTTTGTTAATTAGTAGCTATTAAGAGGCGATTCTTTACATGTATCACAACACCAATTTTGCGGATTCCCGGCCAACAACAAATATTGTATACCTTTCCGGGTTGAACACTTCCGGCTCCGGGTAAAACCTGGGATCGTGATGTATGTTGTAAATTGGAATGATAACTCGGAACCATTTTCTCACGGTCACCCCATTAATAACCCGATCTTCAGAAGGTGCCCGTGTTATTCTGTAACAGAAAACACATTTTAGGGGAATGCTATATTGGTTAAATAAATAATGAACGTGCCAATTAGAGGTGATCAGTTTAGTAGGAAATCGCCCGTCCCGGGACATTGGAATGAGGTGTTGTAACGATTTGCGTGTCTTTCTCTTTGCTGATGGTCAAATACATGTTCTGATCGCTATGGGTTTATATTTCTAACAGCTCATACGGATATGTACATGTTTCTCAAAATTATAATCAATGTGTGTATCACTTGACCTGTTAACTGGCGGGTACTTCCGGAGGACTTCATACAAAACCTGGTCCATGTAGGTCAGCTGGCGGATATTATCATAGACTGGCTCAGCCTGGCGGAAATACACACCATTGAGAAAATACAATTATTCACTATATCAATTGTCCGTTAATCAGACTGCGCTCAGCTACAACCGTGCTTTTAAACACACAATCACTATCTCTGTTAAGTAAACAAAACTGACATTACTTCAACAGGTAGGAGGATATATTCTGAAAATTGACAAATAAAGCGCTCTTTGTGAGAAAAGAGATGTAAATCTAGCGGCTGAAGCCAAAACTAAATAAATTGATTATGCTTTCCAGTAAAATAGTTTATCGAAAACGAATTATTCACACCGGAAGTAACGTTTCCATTGTATATAGATATATGTTAGCCTTATACAGAAGCTAAACTTTTTATTGAACATGTAGGTATTACGGTGTAAATTAAACTGATTGAAGAAAAACGTTAAATCCATCAGAATTTACTAAACTCATTAATTATCCGTAAATATGCACAAATCGCATCGGTTGGCAAACTTAGCATGAGTGGGATGTGCATACGGAATTGTCTGCACACTATCTACAGCAATTATCTCACGAAAACCAAAGAGTGGCCGAAATGGGTGGAAAGACAGAGAAACACAAACATTGTTATCAAGTTTGAAGGAATTTGGCTAATATTTGCTAGTTTTTAAGCGGAAACTGCAGATAATGACATTTTTCGTTAATCAAGGGGCCATAACTCCGCCAAATGGAGTCCGATTAAGGTGGTTGTCAAACATGGCCGAGCCCTTAATGCGTTGAACCCTGTTACTAAGTTTGAAGACAATCGGATAATATTTCCGAGAGTAAATGATTAGAAACGGCAGATAATTACGTTTTTCGTTATTTAAGGGGCCATAACTCCGCCAAATTAAGTCCGCTGAAAGTGGTCATCGAACTTGGTCGAGCCATTAAGGCATTTAACCCTTGTACCAAGTTTGAAGAAACTCGGTTAACTTTTGTTGCAGTTATTGCACGGAAACGGCAGATAATGACGTTTTTTGTTTTTCAAGGGGCCATAACTCCGCCAAATAAAGTCCCCTGAAAGTTTGAAGAAAATCGGTTAACATTTGTTGCAGTAATTGCACGGAAACAAAGCGTGACAGACAGACGGTCAAACCCGAATTAATATCCCCCGTTTCGGTTAAAGCGGGGAATAACTAAGCAAGGATTTATGATGCATACTACAGTACAATGTACAACTAAGAATGCTGATAATGTAGTACTTACTTCGCCTAGAGTGTCTTGTATTTCCTGAAGCATGCGTTCTTGTATTTCCGGGTGCAGTGCCAGTTCATAGGCAGAGAACCGTAACAGTGACGCCGTAGTTTCGTATCCAGCGATAAAAAATATAACTGACGACGCAATGATCTCATCCGTCGATAGTTCTACAACAAAAGACAGAGTGTACAATTGTGGACAATTCGATTTCCGCCAGTGTATCATGTTTGACACATGTAAAATCCTACCTTAGCTGTTCTGTTTCAACCATAACAATGTCCATTGTTATGCTTAATTGTAACCTATCAATCTAGACGAGATATCAAAGTATCAAACCAAATCAAAACTAGCCCAAAGATCCTTCCATGAGTATTTAAAATAATATGTATCTCCATAAAGTTTGACCACATTTAACTATTTTCATAAACTATCATTTATAATACATCGAATGTTTTAAAAATAAATTCCTACGTACATTTTTTTTATTCCATTAACCCTTTTATCTCCATGTAAATTTAGTAGACTCCACCATGTATTCATATGGATGAGTCCATTGTAGTCTGAAGTGGTGAAAGGGTTAAATATGCTTCACCAAGAATATATTGTGGAATAGCCAAGATTTAAAAACCTAATTTTTCAAAACATTTTCTTCAGGTTGGTAAGTATGGATTATGAAAAGTTCTTTTTTACACAACCAATAACATATTCTATGTGACGTTTGAATGACTAGTACGATATGTACACTGTCAACTTCATCAGACAAATGACTAGTGAAGCGTATGCACACAAAGATGTAAAATGTGTACGAATTTGTCCACAAAATCGATGTCGATTTCGGCTACGCTGTAAGCGTATGCACAAGAGTTGTTATATATGTACCGAAATGACTCGATCCAGCTACACTTTGTTTAATACTTGGTCATAGATGTGGGAGAGTCTTTGAGCCCCCTCGTCTCGATTTAGAACTGGCCCACTGCGGCGTATTCATATGGCTTCCTTTATCTGCAGCTTGAACAGTTTGCTCTCTCTGACCAAAACTTTGGAGTTATCCCAGTCAATCACATGGTTTTTCTGTGTGGCATGGTCTGTGATTGCCGGTTTATTTATCTGGGACTCCGACTTCTTCCTTTCTGATCTGGTGAATTTCCTGAATCTTTCCGGTGTTCACCAAGGCGGACCCCAAAACGCTCTCCAATATAAGGGGGGGGGGGGGGGGCTTCATGGCTGTTGCTATGCCTTGGCCGCGATATATTCTCTGGATGGTGTCTGATATACCCATTATATACGGGATGACAACTTGATCTTTGGTTCGTTCTTGTCCTTGATTGGTATTTTTGTGTTCTTCTCCTTACTTTGACACTGTTTGTGTACCCGTTTTAGTGCCCATTCCGGATATGCACATGTTCTCATTGCCCTAGCGATGTGATTCTGCTCTTGTGTTTTGTCCTGTTGTTCTGTGACTATTGTATCACATCTGTTGAACAATGTGCGTACGACGCCTACCTTCTGGTGCAAAGGATGGTGAGATTTGAAGTTCAGGTATTGGTCCGTATGGGTCTTTTTTCTATAGACCAATACTTTCACGGTTCCGTCTTCTTTCTTTACCAGTAGAGTGTCTAGCTAGGGCATTGTGTCGTTGGTTTCTTCCTCACAAGTAAATTTGATGTTGTTAGTGGCATCTATGGTGTTGATATGTGTGGACAAATCCTTCCGTGACCCCTTCTTGATTATCTCAAGTATGTCGTCAACATAATGTTTCCATAAGCTAGACTTGCATTATATGGGAACAGTGGCTATTGCTTCTTGCTCAAGATGTTCCAGGAACAAATTGGCCACAATGGGAGACACTGGACAACCCAAAGCAGTGCCGAAGCGTTGTTGATAGATGTTGTTTCGGAAACTAAAAACTGCACAAATTCTAGCAAATCCATGATGTCCTAAATCTGGAGGTTTGTGTTTTTGCTCCAGGATCTGTCTAATTCTAGTCATCGAAACGTCACATAGAAAATTATATTGATTGTGTAAAAAAGAACTTTTCATAATTAATCATTTAAAACCTTAAATCAACACAAATAAAATATTCATACTTTTATTCATCGATATGAGATCGCTGTTTTCTGTAGTATTTTCCAGTTCGGCGTTCACCATAAGCTGCATGAAATCTGTTCTTGTCTTGAAACGGAAAAAGTGAGGAGAAACAAAATAAGAGGAATGTCAAAAGTAAAACAAAATCAGCCTTTAAACCAGAACAAAATAGGCTGACATTTTGAATTTTCCTTAACTCATTCACCGCTGAAATTTCATAATGAACTATTCCAACCTTTGAATTGGGATTGTTCAAATGTGTCTTCAGGGGTGAAGTCGAGAACAGTGCTGTTAGGAGTTATGGTCACTTCTGTAGTGTTATCATCAACCTTTTTTATAATCATATTGGGCGATATTTGATACGAGCTAGATTCAGAACTGTTTATTTTTATAACGAACTTCTCACGTTATAGAAAAACTTATTCTTTATATAGTAAACATATACACCAGTAAACAATTTAACCCTTTCACCACTGTAAACCATATTAGACTCAGCAATACCAATACATGTCAGAGTCTACTAAAGTTACATAGGGGTGAAAGGGTTAAACAATTAACCAAAATGAGAATTGATAAGTGAAGTGAACAGGTCTTTCTCAGCCCTCTCTCTCAACATTGCTGTTCGTCTTTTTCACTCCCTACAACTTCATGTTAAAAAGGCATTGGAAAACATTCGATATAACAGGGATATCGATGTTCTTTTTATCATACTGTATATAATTGTTGGTAAGGATGGTCATAAGGGAATCTAGCTTTTTATCCTAATGTATATAAGTGATGGTAAGGATGGTCATAAGGGAATCTAGCTTTTTATCCTAATGTATATAAGGGTTGGTAAGGATGGTCATAAGGGGATCTAGCTTTTTATCCTAATGTATATAAGTGATGGTAAGGATGGTCATAAGGGAATCTAGCTTTTTATCATACTTTATATAATTGTTGGTAAGGATGGTCATAACGGTATCTAGCTTTTTATCATACTGTATATAATTGTTGGTAAGGATGGTCATAAGGGTATCTAGCTTTTTATCCTAATGTATATAAGTGTTGGTAAGGATGGTCATAAGGGTATCTAGCTTTTTATCATACTCTATATAATTGTTGGTAAGGATGGTCATAAGGGTACCTAGCTTTTTATCATACTGTATATAATTGTTGGTAATGATGGTCATAAGGGTATCTAGCTTTTTATCATACTTTATATAATTGTTGGTAAGGATGGTCATAAGGGGATCTAGCCTTTTATCATACTGTATATAATTGTTGGTAAGGATGGTCATAAGGGTATACAGCTTTTTATCATACTGTATATAATTGTTGGTAATGATGGTCATAAGGGTATCTAGCTTTTTATCATACTTTATATAAGTGTTGGTAAGGATGGTCATAAGGGTATCTAGCTTTTTATCATACTGCATATAATTGTTGGTAAGGATGGTCATAAGGGTACCTAGCTTTTTATCATACTGTATATAATTGTTGGTAATGATGGTCATAAGGGTATCTAGCTTTTTATCATACTGTATCTAATTGTTGGTAAGGATGGTCATAAGGGTATCTAGCTTTTTATCCTACTTTATATAATTGTTGGTAAGGATGGTCATAAGGGTACCTAGCTTTTTATCATACTGTATATAATTGTTGGTAAGGATGGTCATAAGGGAATCTAGCTTTTTATCCTACTTTATATAATTGTTGGTAAGGATGGTCATAAGGGAATCTAGCTTTTTATCCTACTTTATATAATTGTTAGTAAGGATGGTCATAAGGGTATCCAGCTTTTTATCACACTGTATATAATTGTTGGTAAGGATGGTCATAAGGGAATCTAGCTTTTTATCCTACTTTATATAATTGTTGGTAAGGATGGTCATAAGGGGATCTAGCCTTTTATCATACTGTATATAATTGTTGGTAAGGATGGTCATAAGGGGATCTAGCTTTTTATCCTACTTTATATAATTGTTGGTAAGGATGGTCATAAGGGAATCTAGCTTTTTATCCTACTTTATATAATTGTTGGTAAGGATGGTCATAAGGGTACCTAGCTTTTTATCATACTGTATATAATTGTTGGTAAGGATGGGCATAAGGGTATCTAGCTTTTTATCCTACTGTATATAATTGTTGGTAAGGATGTTCATAAGGGTATCTAGCTTTTTATCATACTGTATCTAATTGTTGGTAAGGATGGTCATAAGGGTATCTAGCTTTTTATCATACTGTATATAATGTCATAAGGGTATCTAGCTTTTTATCATACTGTATCTAATTGTTGGTAAGGATGGTCATAAGGGTATCTAGCTTTTTATCCTACTTTATATAATTGTTGGTAAGGATGGTCATAAGGGTATCTAGCTTTTAACACGTAATCCTCGATTCACAAAACTTTACTTGGCATTTTTGTCGAAAATGTTCCCATTATTGCAAATTACCTACAGACTTATATTGGGATTTTGTTTCAGTTAATCCCCGGATTACCTACAGACTTATATTGGGATTCTGTCTCCGTTAATCCCCGGATTACCTACAGACTTATATTGGGATTCTGTCTCCGTTAATCCCCGGATTACCTACAGACTTATATTGGGATTTTGTCTCAGTTAATCCCCGGATTACCTACAGACTTACATTCGGGTTATGTCTCAGTTAATCCCCGGATTACCTACAGTTAATCCCCGGATTACCTACAGACTTACATTCGGGTTCTGTCTCAGTTAAGCCCCGGATTACCTACAGACTTACATTCGGGTTTTGTCTCAGTTAATCCCCGGATTAACTGAGACTTATATTGGGATTTTGTCTCAGTTAATCCCCGGATTACCAACAGTTAATCCCCGGATTACCTACAGACTTAAATTCGGGTTCTGTCTCAGTTAATCCCCGGATTACCTACAGACTTACACTTGGGTTATGTCTCCGTTAATCCCCGTATTACATACAGATTTACACTTGGGTTATGTTTCAGTTAATCCCCGGATTACCTACAGACTTACATTCGGGTTCTGTCTCCGTTTATCCCCGGAATACCTACAAACGTACATTCGGATTCTGTCTCCGGTCTTTCACCAACAAATCCACTGTCCGGACGAAGTAGTCAATCACCTTCCCGGAAAAAAATCCAAGTTGAAGCCAACCAAACAGGTACTCTAATGGCGGGAAGATTTCTAACAAACAAATACAACGGGGTTTTACATAATGTCTATAATGACTGAGATAAAAACAAAAGAATAACAATACTTTATTTGTTTGTCTGTTTGTCTCTCTCTCTCTGTTTTTTCTCCTTGTCTCTTTATTTGTCTACTTGTTTTTTGTTTGTTTTGTTTATTTGTGTCTTTGTTCCTGTCTCCTGGTTGCTCAGGGGTTTTACGTCCTGGCAACATGACAGCTATAGCCACGAAAACAAATCAGACCTTACATTCAGTCTGTAAAATTTGTCATTTGATATCAACTTTTCACGTGTAATTAGTCGACTATTTTCTATCTTTCTTTTGTTGTTTTCTTCTTAATAAGTCAATCAATTTATGTTTTACTTTTGTTAAAGCAATTGTTTACGAAAATAAAATTCGATTCAATACTATATTGACACTGGTACAACACTAAGCATGTACTTAGGATCTAAGTCAGGGAAATACTCAATTGGGAGATTTTGTTTTCCTGTGAGACTTTTTGTCATTTCGGACAAAGTGACGCACCTACTCCGAAACGGTTACTCCCTCTATAGGCTACAGGTGTGGGAGGGGTGTAAAGTATTCGCTACAATTGCATACCAGTTAGTAACCTGCATACACTCAATGTATATTGATTTTATAACCAATCCCCCTTTTTTACAACCCTTTAATAAGCATCATTCAATACAATGTCAACTCTTCTATACCCCCCCAAAATGTCTATTTAGTACCAAGTGCTGGTAATATGACGAGGTACTCATATACGTTACAGTGTTTACGTAATTCTGATGATTCAACTTACTGCCGAGAATCAGCGTGAAAATAAAACTCTTCCTAGGAACGAACAGTCCTTTAGCATTGGTCACCAACGGCTCGTCGGGGTTGGTCTGGGAGTCAACATCCAGGCTAAAGGCGGTAGCGGCTATAGCATCCATGGTGAAGGCTCCAAAGTAACTACATTAACATAGTACATTTGGTGAAAGTACTCATCTCAAAGATGTACATTGTGTTTGAAGGAAAATCATTTGAGCAACATGCAAATCTCGATGGTACGTCTGACATGGGACCTGATACTTTGTTACGGCCTCATTTGGACCTAAACTGAGGTGTTCAGAGTAATTCAAATCATGTAAACTCACTCTAAACACATTAGGTAAATATAGTTGTAACAAATTATCAGGTCCATGTGAAATCACCAAGTGAACTGCTGGGACAGTAACATTGGTTAGTAAAACCCGAAGATTGAATGTCAACCTCTAGTGATTTCACATTATGAAACGGCACCGGATATAGCGTGACGACATTGACGTTGACATGCGCATTTGCGATTTGCCAATCAATGTTGGAGTATTGCAGTTTGACTTTGAAGAATCTACCAGTATATTGCGTGAACTCAAAATGCGAAATAATACCTTCAAGCTGATGCTTGAATTCGGTCTCATTTATTAAAGAGCTTGATTTTCCGAAATCGTCCGTTGGAAAAAATCGAATAACTCCGAAATTTCGGAGTTTTATTAACGCAAATATAATTGTGTTCCTTTCAAACGTGCCATTTTAATCAATTAACAAGTTAATGTAACAATTCACTATTCAGACAAAAAATATCCTTTTATTTTAGCGAATTTTATTACCTGTAGGCCTATGAGTAATATAATAACGAGTGGGCGGTCACCCACCCAACTACTGACCACGCTCGACGCTGCTGAACTAGTGAGCGGGTCCCCCAGTAATACCGCTCCCCTCATATTCCTAAGCTGTTACATATGTATGATCAACTAAGAAAAGGGAAGGATATTTCGACGTCATATCGTTAAGGTGAAGGATACCAACAAGTTAAACTATAATACTACCAGTATCACTGTTGTGAAATATTCGTTTAAGCCATTTTCAAAAGAAATATTCAATAAAATTCATATGTTTTCATGCATTTTAGAGAATTCTATCTTTTCGATATCTGAATGTTAGAAAACAGGAAAATAAATGAAGCACAACAACAACAGGAATCGAACTCGGGAGTTTCATATTACAATGCCGGTGCTCTTTGTCTACAGCCATCTAGGAATTCAAGCTGCATAGTAGCAAGATAAGTTACCAATTAACGGCCCGCAAAAGTGATGAATACTTGACACGGGAAGGTTATCTAAGCCAGAAAAACTTATTATGTGTTACTTCATCTTTGATATAGAAGGGATCATACTCTAAGTCAAAAGAAATATTCTAGTGGAACTCTTCTTCGCGATAACAACTGATGCAGTGGTACCGTTTGCCTTAAGTATCGAAGTAGAACCATTATACAAACTAACTGTCATACTGTCGTGTTGGTAAATCACCTGGCTCGAAGGGTATGGCATTTGGCCAATCGCATACTGGGATGAATTACTACCAAGTTTGCTCAAATAAATGACATTGATGCCCTTTCAATGTCGAAGGTTCAAATAAGTTAAAATCTTAAAAACATTTTCTTCTCAATACCACAAACACCAAGGATGATGATGTATGCCCGGTGGAATACTGGGAGGAAGGGCTACCAGGTTTGTTAAAATGAACGACATTGGCAGACCTTTAAGTTCACAGGGGTCAGATGGTTAAAAATATTCAAACAACTTTTATTTTAAATATCCCAAAGGCCTAAGGTGATGGCATTGGCCAGTATCATGCTGGGATATATGGCTACCAATTTGGCTCAAATGAATGGCTTTGAAACCGTTTAAAAGTTACTTTAACAACTTTTCTCAATACCCAAAAAAACAAGGATGATGCTACATATCCAGTAGAATACCAGGAGGGAGGGCTACCTGGTTTGCTCAAATGAACGACATTGGCTGACTTTTAAGGTTACATGGATCGATGCATTAAAATCTTTATACACATTCTTCTCAATAACCAAAAGACAAAGGATGGTGAAAGTTGGACATGTTGCATTTATTTATCCCATTTGAATATGTTCACCCTAGGCCCACTTTGAAGGGAACTGGTCTGAGATTAATACCAGGTGAGTGATACAAGCCCATTGGGTCTCTTGTTATAAATAATTTCCAAAAGAGTTACCAATTAGTAGTAGTATCTTTAAACGTAAAAGTGGGCTACCAATTCTCTCAAGAAACAAAATACAGATATGCCTATTGACATCAACTCAGTCAATAGTCGCCGGAAATACAATCAACTCAGTCAATACTCGCCGGAAATATAAAGAATTTACTACAAATCGGAACATTTCGGTCAAGCGTGATTCCGATGCTTTCCAGAATCGATATTCCACTGGTGACGTCCCACCCACGCCGAATTCAACCCGAAGTAATGAACCCGTGGTGGATATTCTATTTATATATACCTACTCTTTCGGGCTAATGACTTTCCCAGTACGTGCTGCTTCCTGTAGGTTCGCAGCAAGTGTTTTGGCGCAGCGGTTGATATCTTCATTCATCTGGGTAAAACAAACAATGAATGTCATATTCTTTTTCTCATTACAGGGTATGTTATTTATGAAGACCAGGGATACAGGGTCTCCGAATTTTTTGTTGCATCATATATGACAAAAAATGTCATTTCAAGAATCGCTTGGCCACGAGAAAAAGTAAATTCGGATAGACATTATGGCGTTTTTGATACCATCGCTATCGAAAGTAGAAGAATCTATATCTGTTGAAAACAATACTAACCAACTTCATCTTGCTTGTACTAAATGTGGGGCTTAAAATTGCCCGGATGCGTTTCCATGCTTTCCCTTCTGCGAAAAACACGTTCTTAGCCATGATCGGATGTCCGTGAATGCTTGTCTAGAAATTAGCAAATAGTAAAATGATTATCAAACAGAAAGAAAATTGGAAAGATCAAGAGGAAATACCTCACTACGGAAGTCGACAAGAAATTAATAGACAACCACAGAAATCGGGAACCGTCGGCACTTTCCGACGATTCGTATTTTCTCGTTTACGGAAAAAAACGACGGTTCCCGATTGACTACCACAAGGAACAATTCATACAAGATGAGAACCAATATGGCTTTAATAAGAATTTCATATCACTTTTCATTAAGATATGTATTTAACTACACAAAATTACAAACAAATGTTATAACACCATTTTCCTATATATGTTGTTGGTGTCATTGCCCTTATCCAGTGGCTTATTTTAGATAGGTTTTTCGTGTGAACTAACATTGTTCGGTGTGACGACATAATCTATGTATGTGACGTATTAGTATTTCCGGTAATCAGTCTAGCGTTAAAGAACTGCTAGCATTCATGTATGAATAAATAAGTGGGTTCTATGTTTTCGTTTGCTTATTTGTTTGTTGTTTATACAAAACAAAATTCAGTAAATACTCGTTATATTGTCACCATTTGCTCAGTGATTTTTGGCGTAATAAAGGAGTTTGGCGATAAATTTGGGGAAAAGTATAAGGCATTCACAGGGAAAACAAGATAAAGGGGACATTGAAATATGCCGGCATAAAACGAGGGACATTATCGAGGTTTCACTGTATTAAATCTGGTCAAGTATGGCTGAAGTTTGACGTTATAGCAATGTGATTTGACGCTCAAAATCTGATTGATATCCGAAAATTGTATTTCTAAATAAATATAAATAATAGCAGATCATATTTGTTTGTTCTGCGGTAACCTAGGATGCTTAGATATTCAGTGATCTACAAAAGTACGAGTCTAAGAGCTCTGAAGACGATAAAAACACTTACTCCTCTGTCCGTGAAGTGGGAAAAATCCTTCACCAAAATCTCCTTTAGGAAATCAGGGTCCTTGACCACTAAGTTCAGCTGTTGACCGCTCGCCCACCTATAAATCAAGATAGTACTACACTTATCTCCCCTAGAATATATATTATCTCCCTTGAAATATTCTCAATCGCAACATCTCGGAGAGAGTTCTAGTAATCTCTGAGATATTGCAATTATGTATTTTTCGGTCTGGGAAAAGAAATACGTTATCGGTAGTTAAATCATCTGAATTAGAATAAAGAGTTTTAAACTAAATATTTTTTTTTAAAAAAATCGATTGTTGTATTTCTGTGCATATAATTAAATTTCTTAGGCGTCAGACTGTGTGAATACGAAGTGTATATTTACCCAACTATGTCGCCGTATTGTTTTATCCATTCCTGCTCCGATTCCATTAAGCCCTAAACGCAACAAACACAATGAAATATAGTAAATTGATGGTCAAATCTAGTACGTACAGAATTATAACTACATTTTGTGCACCTCTTTATATTCAAAGTGTGGCCTCTGCTGGTTTGGAGAGAGAATAAGCCTGCTGTATCCCACTGCATGTCGTATGAGGCGACTAATGTGAGCCCCATGCAGAATCGGGGGGAGGGGGGTTCTTCTGTGTCGTCTGCTAAGGGGACATTGAAAACTAAAGAGACCACAATTGTTGCGTTCCCTATTTCAACATCTGGGATCTTTACATTTCCTCTCTACTTCACGAAACCCCTTTTGTTTCCTAGCGCCTTGATTGGCAATACCTTACGCTTGGCCTTAGTGTTGAGCGTTCGCCAAAGTGGGGTTGGCAGTGGCTTCCGTCCCCACGCCGGGACATACCAAAGTCCTAAAGCAAGTACAGCTGTAAGGGTTATTACGACAACTGGTTCACCCGGTATCGGTATAATGCGACCGGTTGGAATGCGTTGGGCTGGAATGCGTTGGGTGCCTTCGTCATGGTATTTCAGTGAGGTAGCACTCTAAAGTCGGCATCAGATCTGCGCTATCGCGGGAAGGTCAATGCATCAACATAACCTGCCTCCAGCACCCATACACAATAGGAAGCATAACTTACAGGTATGAAGGCACGTCCTGACATTACCTTAATTAGCTGTTAATAGGACGTTAAACAAAATAAAGCAAAGGTAATATTCGAAGGATGTGAATAAATGTATGTATGGATGGTAATGATGACCTGATGTCTAAGTGGAATAAATGGATGGATGGATGGTGATGATGACCGGATGTCTAAGTGGAATAAATGTATGTATGGATGGTGATGATGACCTGATGTTTAAGTAGAATGAATGTATGTATGGATGGTGATGATGACCTGATGTCTAAGTCGAATAAATGTACGTATGGATGGTGATGATGACCTGATGTCTAAGTAGAATAAATGTACGTATGGATGGTGATGATGACCAGATGTCTAAGTGGAATAAATGGACGTATGGATGGTGATGATGACCTCATGTCTAAGTGGAATAAATGTATGTATGGATGGTGGTGATGACCGGATGTCTAAGTGGAATAAATGTACGTATGGATGGGGATGATGACCGGATGTCTAAGTGGAATAAAGGTATGTATGGATGGTGATGATGACCGGATGTCTAAGGGGAATAAATGTATGTATGGATGGTGATGATGACCGGATGCATAAGTGGAATAAATGTATGTATGGATGGGGATGATAACCGGATGGCTAAGTGGAATAAATGTATGTATGGATGGTGATGAAGACCTGATGTCTAAGCGTAATAAATGTATGTATGGATGGTGGTGATGACCTGATGCCTAAGTGGAATAAATGTATGTATGGATGGTGGTGATGACATGATGTCTAAGTCGAATAAATGTACGTATAGATGGTGTTGATGACCTGATGTCTAAGTGGAATAAATGTACGTATAGATGGTGATGATGACCTGATGTCTAAGTGGAATAAATGTCCGTATGGATGGTAATGATGACCTGATGTCTAAGTGGAATAAATGGATGGATGGATGGTGATGATGACCGGATGTCTAAGTGGAATAAATTTATGGATGGATGGATGGTGATGATGACCAGATGTCTAAGTGGAATAAATGTATGTATGGATGGAGATGAAGACCTGATGTCTAAGTGGAATAAATGTATGTATGGATGGGGGGGATGACCTGATGTCTAAGTCGAATAAATGTACGTATAGATGGTGTTGATGACCTGATGTCTAAGTGGAATAAATGTACGTATGGATGGGGATGATGACCTGATGTCTAAGTCGAATAAATGTACGTATGGATGGTGATGATGACCGGATGTCTTAGTGGAATAAATGTACGTATGGATGGTGATGATGACCTGATGTTTAAGTAGAATGAATGTATGTATGGATGGGGATGATGACCTGATGTCTAAGTCGAATAAATGTACGTATAGATGGTGATGATGACCTGATGTCTAAGTGGAATAAATGGATGGATGGATGGTGATGATGACCGGATGTCTAAGTGGAATAAAGGTATGTATGGATGGTGATGATGACCGGATGTCTAAGGGGAATAAATGTATGTATGGATGGTGATGATGACCTGATGTCTAAGTGGAATAAATGTATGTATGGATGGTGGTGATGACTTGATGTCTAAGTCGAATAAATGTACGTATAGATGGTGATGATGACCTGATGTCTAAGTGGAATAAATGTACGTATGGATGGTAATGATGACCTGATGTCTAAGTGGAATAAATGTATGGATGGATGGTGATGAAGACCTGATGTCTGAGTGGAATAAATGTATGTATGGATGGTGGTGATGACTTGATGTCTAAGTCTAATAAATGTACGTATAGATGGTGATGATGACCTGATGTCTAAGTGGAATAAATGAATGTATGGATGGTGGTGATGACCTGATGTCTAAGTCGAATAAATGTACGTATCGATGGTGATGATGACCTGATGTCTAAGTGGAATAAATGGACGTATGGATGGTGATGATGACCGGATGTCTAAGTGGAATAAATGTACGTATGGATGGGGATGATGACCTGATGTCTAAGTGGAATAAATGTCCGTATGGATGGTAATGATGACCTGATGTCTAAGTGGAATAAATGTACGTATGGATGGAAATGATGACCTGATGTCTAAGTAGAATAAATGGACGTATGGATGGGGATGATGACCTGATGTCTAAGTGGAATAAATGTCCGTATGGATGGTAATGATGACCTGATGTCTAAGTGGAATAAATGTACGGATGGATGGTAATGATGACCTGATGTCTAAGTGGAATAAATGTACGGATGGATGGTAATGATGACCTGATGTCTAAGTGGAATAAATGAATGTATGGATGGTGATGATGACCGAATGTCTAAGTGGAATAAATGTATGGATGTCTAAGTGGAATAAATGTACGTATGGATGGAAATGATGACCTGATGTCTAAGTAGAATAAATGGACGTATGGATGGTAATGATGACCAGATGTCTAAGTGGAATAAATGTACGTATGGATGGGGATGATGACCTGATGTCTAAGTGGAATAAATGTACGGATGGATGGTAATGATGACCTGATGTCTAAGTGGAATAAATGAATGTATGGATGGTGGTGATGACCTGATGTCTAAGTGGTACGTATGGATGGTGATGATGACCTGATGTCTAAGGGGGATAAATGTACGTATGGATGGTGATGATGACCTGATGTCTAGGTAGAATAAATGGACGTATGGATGGTGATGATGACCGGATGTCTAAGTGGAATAAATGTACGTATGGATGGAAATGATGACCTGATGTCTAAGTAGAATAAATGGACGTATGGATGGGGATGATGACCTGATGTCTAAGTGGAATAAATGTCCGTATGGATGGTAATGATGACCTGATGTCTAAGTGGAATAAATGTACGGATGGATGGTAATGATGACCTGATGTCTAAGTGGAATAAATGTACGTATAGATGGTGATGATGACCTGATGTCTAAGTGGAATAAATGAATGTATGGATGGTGGTGATGACCTGATGTCTAAGTGGTACGTATGGATGGTGATGATGACCTGATGTCTAGGTAGAATAAATGGACGTATGGATGGTGATGATGACCAGATGTCTAAGTGGAATAAATGTATGTATTGGATGGTGATGATGACCACATGTCTAAGTGGAATAAATGTATGTATGGATGGGATGACTTGATGTCTAAGTCGAATAAATGTACGTATAGATGGGGATGATGACCGGATGTCTAAGTGGAATAAATGTATGTATGGATGGTGGTGATGACCGGATGTCTAAGTGGAATAAATGGATGTATGGATGGTGGTGATGACCTGATGTCTAAGTGGAATAAATGGACGTATGGATGGTGATGATGACCAGATGTCTAAGTGGAATAAATGTCCGTATGGATGGTAATGATGACCTGATGTCTAAGTGGAATAAATGAATGTATGGATGGTGGTGATGACCTGATGTCTAAGTCGAATAAATGTACGTATAGATGGGGATGATGACCGGATGTCTAAGTGGAATAAATGTATGTATGGATGGTGGTGATGACTCGATGTCTAAGTCGAATAAATGTACGTATAGATGGTGATCATGACCTGATGTCTAAGTGGAATAAATGTACGTATAGATGGTGATGATGACCTGATGTCTAAGTGGAATAAATGTACGTATGGATGGTGATGATGACCTGATGTCTAAGTAGAATAAATGGACGTATGGATGGTGATGATGACCTGATGTCTAAGTGGAATAAACGTATGTATGGATGGGGATGATGACCTGATGTCTAAGTGGAATAAACGTATGTATGGATGGTGATGATGACCTGATGTCTAAGTGGAATAAATGAATGTATGGATGGTGATGATGACCGAATGTCTAAGTGGAATAAATGTATGTATGGATGGTGATGATGACCTGATGTCTTAGTGGAATAAACGTATGTATGGATGGTAATGATGACCAGATGTCTAAGTGGAATAAATGTATGTATGGATGGTGATGACCGGATGTCTAAGTGGAATAAATGGATGTATGGATGGATGTATGGATGGGGGTGATGACCTGATGTCTAAGTGGAATGGATGGTGATGACCGGATGTCTAAGTGGAATAAATGGATGTATGGATGGTGGTGATGACCTGATGTCTAAGTGGAATAAATGGATGTATGGATGGGGGTGATGACCTGATGTCTAAGTGGAATAAATGGATGTATGGATGGGGGTGATGACCTGATGTCTAAGTGGAATGGATGTCTAAGTAGAATAAATGTACGTATGGATGGTGGTGATGCCCTGATGTCTAAGGGGAATAAATGTACGTATGGATGGTGATGAAGACCTGATGTCTAAGTAGAATAAATGTACGTATGGGATGTCTAAGTGGAATAAATGGATGTATGGA